AAAAAAAAAGATGAATTCTTGTCATGTGGGAATTCTTGTCGTGGATGGAACTGGAGGGGGTTAAGCTAAGTAAAATAAGCGAGAAAGAGAAAGACCAATTTCTTCCTACAAATGGGACTGTAGAATGAGGTCATTGGTGGTGCATGTGGGGTGGGGAGCAAATAAAGAGACTCCACTGGCCTGTGGATTATGAGGTGATGTGTGTGGTAACATGTATCTGAAGAGATGTGAAATTGTATTTCTGCATCTGCAGTTTACAGACCAACATTGCTTCAATGAAGAAGTAATAGAATATAAAAAATACAAAAACAACTGTGGAATCGGAAAGTGGAGTAGAAGTTTACATTCTACTTTGTTGTTTGGGGGGATTTTTATAGGTAGAGGTCGGTGAATTTATGTGTCTATGTTTTCTTTTAGAAATTAAATGTGCATGGCTTTATAAGTTGTTTTCTCACTTCCAGATTCCTTAACCAATGAAAAATCCACTGCATGTATTCTTACTTAAAAACAATTTTGTGCAGCTGCCCTTACTTATAGCTGCAGGCTTTAAGGATCTGGGAGAAAAGAAAAAGCTTCTGGAATATAATGCTAAGATTTCACTTCATTTGAGTTGAAATTGTTTCTGAAGAGCTTGGGCAGGAGTTACAAGTCACAGCTGTAGCGCATTGCTCTGGAACACAAAGGTGGAACTTTTCACAGAAACAAAGCTTTCCTTTTAAGAATAACTCAACTACGGAAATGATTATCAAACAAAACAAAAATGCAACTGAGCTCCAAGAGGTTTTCTGGTCAAGAAGGATCAGAGTTTTATCAGAAATAGGGTAACAACTTGACATTTTGTGTAAGCATCAAAGTCCCATGCCAACGTAAAATGGAAAGGTGAAGATAACATTTTAATTATCAAGCTGTGAGTGTCAGTGTTCCCACTACTCCGTGACCCAAGGAATGAAGTCAGGTGGAGGCAGCGTGATGTAGTTGAGTATCTGTTGACTCTGAAATCAATGAAAATACAGTTTTAGCTGTGCCACTTAGTAGCTCTGTAACTCACTTCCCTCAGCTGGAATAATGAGTAACTGTATGACCAGCATTCATGAGTGGTATTGAGTATATTACTATTGTGGGTACAGAATAAATGGTGAGCTGGTCATTTACACTTGGCATTAAAGAAAAATAAAGAATAACCTGTTTCATTTCCTGTTTTAGCTCCTTATATTTACTGAGATTTTAATATATCATTATTTTTGAAACCATATTCTTGAAACCATATTGTACACTGCCTGGGTTAGGGGTTCATTGAATCATTAGTTCATAGATTCAAAAAAGAATTGAGCTCTATGTGCCAGACTTTGTACTAAGGCTTGTATTACCTACTCACACTTTCCTCTTTCTGCCCCAGACTGCCTCCTTGTAGTTCAGATTTATACGTGCAACTGTCTGTCATCTCTACTAGGTTGTCTAGTGAGAATCTCAAGTTTTGTGGATATGAAACTGAACCTATGAATAGACTTTCCTACTATTGTGTTTCTCTTGTATTTTCATCTCTTGGATACTTCCATTCTCCCCTATGCTCACTCTTTTCTAGTCTTTATTTTTTGCCCATTGGGACCTTCCTGCCATGGGCCTTTGTATGTCTTCTCCTGAAATGTTCTTCCTTGTGACCTCAGCTTCTAACTCCCTGTCCCCTAGGATTCCTGCATTGTTTAGCCGGTTTCATTTTCTCCACAGTATTTTCCACAATGTAGTATTTTTTTTTTGCGTGTGTTTGTTTGCTTGCTTGATCTTTATCTCCTTTGACTTACAGATCTATGAGAACAAAGGCTTCTTTTAATTTTGTTTACTGCTGTGTCTCCAGGGATAGAATGCTCAATGACATTTAGTGCATGGATAGATGGATGGATGGATGGATGGATGGATGGATGGATGGATTTGTACTGTGCACTCTTGAATAGTTCACTTTTGTGAGCAGAGACGGAGGATAACCTAGAAAACTAGTAAATGAAATTTTTGTTTACAATGAGAATATTATAAAAGAGACATAGGATAGGAGTAATGAAAGAGAGGGGCAGTGAATGTGGGAGTCACAAGTGCTCCTCGGGTGTTATGGGGTACAAATGGTATAGTATGACAGGAGCACTGTGGTGGAAATGGGTTCCAAGGATGAAGAGAGACACCAGCCTAAGAAAAGCATGCATGGCATGAGAAGGATTGACAGTCTGTTCCAATTGCATGAGAAACAGACCCGTTGGAGGGTTGGCTTGTCTGGTTTCATCCATCCATCCACTTGCTCTCATTGCTGTGGTTGACAGGAGTTGGGTTTGGGGACCTGAGTGAGGTGTTGGGAGAATATGTGGACCTCTGAGCATTATCCTATTTCAAAAACTTGAAATTATCAAAGCCTAAGATGGATTTTTTTTTTTTTTTGGCTATTTGTGTATTCCAGAACTATTGCTACAAAAATATGTCTTTGTGGCTTTCTAATTTGCTTCTACAGTTTGTGGGGAACTAAGTAGCTGAAGGGCCCATTGGGGATGGAAAGCAGAGTTGGGGGACTGTGAAAACTTCAGTGTTCCTCACTTCTTTGCCAGAGTGTCACCTCTAAGGTATCTATACACTGCGGAGTACCTTCTGCGGGCCTTCATAAAGGTCCATATAGTCAGACAGGCAGGATAGGCAAATAAATAAACAAACAAGCAAATAAATAAATAAATAAATGTTTGAATTAAAAAAATAATACATGAGCTGTTTTATAACATGGTAGCACACTTGTTTTGGTTTATAATTGCAAGTTATTTTGATTTATAGCTCTGTGTCCTAAGGGAATATTACAGAAGCTGTAAAACTCATGTTTATAAGAGAAAAATGCAAATAAGTGAAGGAATTGTTTTAATAATGATTCAATTGTAATGTATTTTTTTCCGTTTCAGAAAACACCAGTTTGATCATGGAGAGGTAAAATCCTAACATTAGTAAAGTTTTACTTATTTTACTGTTGGTGTGTATTTAGACTTCTCTTTCTAGTTTCAGTTTCTATATTTATTAGCAGTTCTCACTAATCATCTTCAAAAATAGCCCTGTATATATTTTTTATGAGAGTATGTGACTATTTGTGATCTTCCAGGTGCTGGAAGGGAATCACCCAAATGCTTTAAGTTATTGCATTTGACATATATAACCATTCATTTGTTTAAACAATTCAGTAGGGACATCATTTTGTCTGCCAGTCACCTTTACAGTGAGAGCTGTGTGTTTCTGGAGTCTCTGTGGTCACCTGTGGGCAGTGCTTTCTTTCCTCTCTGCTTACTCTACCTGAGGCTTCTACCTGAGGCTCTCACTGGCTGCTCCCATGTCCTGGTGATTCAACCTGGTTTTTGCTTGTTTGTTTCCTCATATTGTTAATTTTGGGACAGCATTTGATTATTCCCTTCAGGTGCAGTCTCCTCAGTTCTCCCACCACCATAGCCTCTATGATCCATCACTACAGTCCCTTATGCGCTTTCTTCCCCTGTTCTGACCCTTCTCCTCACCCTGCCCTGCTGATGCCTCTCACATATGGTCATCTTGCAAGTGTTTTGTCTTTCTCCTGATCCTTTGTTCAGTGTCTCTATATTCCACATATAAAAGAAACCATCTGATAATTCGTCTTTTTCCTTCTGACTTATTTCCTAAACATAATCCCTCCTAGCACATGGGTGGAACTAGAAGGGATTATGTTCAACCTGGTTTGGATAGCAGTTCCAAGGAGGAGCGCTGGTGTCTTAAAGCAACAGCTGTTTCTGTTTACCACTTTCCTGCCTTGAGCCAATGGTAGTGCCAAGATAGATTCAGAAACTGGGCATCACCAATTGCTGGCTTGACTCTGGGCAGAATTACAGAACCACTGGCCTTAGACAACTTGTTTTACACATTTCAGATAGTAAAGTGATGTTGCTAAGAAAAAAAAAAATACCCTTTTCAACAACTTTACCAGTATATTCTGAAATGTCACAAGTAGTAAGAGTAAAAATGATGTTATCTTTCTTTCAGCTGGTTTACCATGCATTGCAGCTACTAGCATACACGGTCCTTGGAATTTTAATTATGAGACTGAAACTCTTCTTGACACCACACATGTGTGTTATGGCTTGCTTGATCTGCTCACGACAGGTATGATGGGGGTTTGTAGTGTTTGTCGTCATTGGCATTGTGGCTGCTCTGGTCATTTTCCCCCGCCTTTGCTATGGAGTAACCTTAAAAATTGAATTACCCGAAGTTCTTTAAGTTATTGCAGTTAAAGGTCTTCATGATTTTTTACTGCTCTTTTCTAAGGGTCAGGCCCAAAAGTGATCTCTTTTTTTTTTTTTTATTTCCAACTTCTAAAAAAGTCCTTAGAATACAACACACTGTGCAGGCTGAATTCATGAGTGATTACTACAGATCTTGATAGAAGTATATTTTTTGTTTGCTTTGGCATTCGTATCACTAAGAATACCAAGAATTGATTTCAGATTTTAAGTACTGCTGTGTATTTACAGACTCATACTTCTCCATTATGTTGCCTTTTCATGAATCAACTGGCCACAATCTTAAGGGTAGTATTTCTTTTAAACTTAGTACATACTTACTAAATATGTACTCTGTGCTCTAGGAATGAGGGTAGACTGGTAGATGGAAAAATAAGAAGCTGAAGTGTATATACTTCAAGCCCTCAAGAAACGTAAAGTATAGCTCT